ACCAACATTGTTAGAGGAGATTGGTCTGGAAGAAATTTATAAAAGAGAGAGAAATAACGGAATTATTGTCGGGAATCCAGGAGAAAAGAAGTTGGGAGATATACTATTATTATTGAGTAAAGAAGAAAAAAAAAGTAAATGCAATAAAGCGTTAGAAAAATGTAATGAATTAGGGTTTCTGACTGTTGAATTTAAAACTTTATGTCAAGATGGTGAAAAAGAAAATAAGTGCGAAAGCTTAATAAATGTTACTACTAGATGTTCAGATTTCAGAAAAAGGCTTTACATAAAGAATATATCTACATATGCTACTGAACAGGACGCAGAAACTATTTTATGGCATTCACTTCCGAGATCACTTACTAAGGAGGAATGTATAAAGTTTGAATCAGAATGTTTCTATTTAGAAAATATATGTTCAAATATACTTAAAAAAACGTGCAAGAATCTGAGAGTAGCATGTTATAAAAAAGCGCAAGAAGATATGCTCTTTGAATTATCTAAAGATCTCTTGCACGGGATACTTAATTCAAATTCTAATCATGAAAATCTTAAAGAATGCCAAAAGGTAGTACTAGAGAATTGTAGAAAGCTTAAGGAAAGTAAAGAATATATTTCAAGATGTCTTAAACCAAAACAACTATGTCTTGAATTTGAGGAGGATATTTTGACTCTATCGGAAGGATTAAAACAAATTTTGGAAATGAAGCGAGATTCTTTTACAAAAAAAGAGTGCGTTGAATTAAAAAGAAGCTGCGAAGATCTTGAAAAGGATTCAAATGTAAACTATCAGAACTGCATTAAATTGAATCTACGCTGCAAATATTTAGAAGTCGCGGAAGAATTCAAGAATATATTTTTAAAAGAAGAAAAAGATATATTAGGAAATCAAGAAAATTGTGAAAAGGCTCTGAAAGAGAAATGTGATGGAATATTTAAAAAGAAAGTAAATCCATTTAGCATTTCATGTGTTTTACAGAAAGAAACATGTCAAACTATAGTCAAAGAGACGGAAAATCAGTGTCGTATTCTTAAAGAGAACATAGAAAAACAGAAAATTTTGGATAAAGAAAACGGAAAAGAAAATGAAACATCACTTGAAGAAATATGTTTATTATGGAGTCCATATTGCAATCAGCTTATGGAAAATTGTCCAAGGCTATTGAAAGAAGAAAGTAATGGCACTGGTGGAGTTTGTTTAAAACTTAAAGAGAAATGTAGCCCATTCTGGACAATGAAGCACTTGGACGATGAATTGACTCATAAATTGAAAGGAAATTTAAGTGATAATGCTAAATGTAAACTAGCGTTAGGAAGCTATTGTACTCAATGGAAAACTGGAACGAATAATACGTTAAAAAATCAGTGTAATACTGATGAAAATAAGAGTGTTCAAGATGAAATTTGTAAAAGATTAGTACAAAAAATAGCGAAAGAATGTCCAACTCTAAAAATAAATTTAGAAAAGGCGGAAAAAGAATTACAAGACAAAGAAAAAGAATATGAAAAACTAAAAAAAAAGGCAGAAGAAGCTATGAGTAAGAGCGGGTTACTCTTATCAAGACCTAAAGAAAGTTTGGATCAACAAAATATATCATCAAGTGCACCGAACAACAATGCACTTATGTCATCTGTTTTGCCGAAGAATTTTTTAAGCAAACTAATAAATACCAAAACAAAACTTAGACTTATTCGAAAAGCATATGTAAATATTGAAATTTCTGAAGTAGAGAGAGAAGCGTTTGATGCAGTGGAGAGGGCATTGGAATTGTATTTAGAGCTGAAAGAAAAATGCAGAATCTTGCAATTGGACTGTGGTTTTAGGGAAGATTGCCTAACGCATAAACCGGTCTGTGAAAAAATAGACAATTTATGTAAACTGAAGTCATTGGAAATTAAACCTCATTATACAACAATAATAACATCAGGAACATCACTTTCTAGTGTAACAACAGTAACAGGAGATGAAAAAACGATAGAAAGGACAATAGAAGGACAGCCCAGCACAATAACAATAATAAGAACAAAGATTATACAAGGAAATTCTACATCACTTTGCAATATAGATACGCAAGCAACAAATACATTATTTCATACGAGTACAGTGACAAGCACAGTGACAAGCATACTGACAAGCAGATATACAGTGACATCGACTCTAAGATTGACGTCAACGGAAAAATGTAAACCTACAAAATGTACCACCGATTCAACCAAAGAGACGCAGAAAGGAGAAGAAGGAGGAAGAAAAGAAGGAAGAGAAGAAGGAAGAGAAGAAGAAGTGAAACCGAACGAGGGGATAAAAATAAAAGTTACCGAGATGATTAAAATAATGTTTTTGGGAGTGATTGTTATGGGGATGATGTAAAATGAATGAAAAAAATGTTAATAGAATGAAAATATGCATATATCCATTGTTTATATATAATAGAAATCTAAATGAATGAAATGAAAGATGAACTTTAATTATTTTAGTCCGATATTTTAATTAATAACTTAGCTTTATCGGGTAAAGTTTAAGCTTATCGTAGAGCTAGTAAAGATTATGATAAGAACAACTCTAACCTGTAAAAAAATCGTTTTAGAATAACTTTTCACTCACCTGCCTACATCCAACTTAGAAACAATAGTTTAAACTCCCTACGAAGAGGAGGCAATGGCACGGCCGGTTAAGAGGCAAGCACAAGTAGTACAAGTAGCACAAGATGACATTAAGGAGGAACACCTTTTGGCTTTCATTGTGAAGGACAAACATGATAAAGACGCTGAATGCAAAAAAAGGCTCGAGGAATATTGTGAAGAGTTGAAGAAAGCAGATGAGAAATTCAGTGTGAATGAGAAAGTTAAAGGACTTTGTGATGATAAAAAACGAGACGAAAAATGCAAAGAACTGAAAGGCGAAGTTAAAAAAGAATTGGACGCTTTTGATGATGAACTTGAAGGAGCATCGGTAGATGACATACAAGATGAAGAAGTTTGTAAAAAATATGAAGAAAAATGTATACTTTTAGAGGAAGCAGACCCAAATAATCTTAAGGAGAACTGTGTCAAGTTGAGGGAAGGATGTTACGAATTGAAGCGTAAAAAGGTGGCAGAGGAGCTTCTTTTCAGGGCGCTCGGAGGGGATGCTAAAGATGTGAATAAATGTAAAGGAAAGATGAATACTGTTTGCCCAGTGTTAAGCCGAGAAAGCGATGAGCTGATGTTTTTCTGCCTTAATTCTGCTAAAACATGTGGAGATCTGAAAACAAAATTGGATGAAGTTTGCAAGCCTTTTAAAAAAGAATTGGATGAGAATAGTTTAGAAAGAGATTGTCATAAAAGACTTGAGAAATGTCATTTTTATGGAAAAGCGTGTGATGATTCAAAGTGTGAAGAGGATAAGAAAAAATGCGAGGCAAAAGGAGTCATATATAAAGCACCAGAATCCGATTTTAGTCCGGTCAAGCCGAAGGCGTCGTTGTTGAGAAGTATTGGGTTGGATGATGTCTATAAAAACGCGGAAAAACATGGGATTATTATTGGAAAAGCAGGAGTGGATTTACCAAGAAGGTTTGGTGATGATTTTCTGAAAGATCTCTTGCTAGTGTTGAGCCAAGATGAGGATGATAAGGATACAGTAAAAAAGTGCACTAAAGCGTTAGAAAAATGTGATACTTCTAAGCATTTGGATGATGATTTGAAAAAGTTATGCGAGATTAAAGATGAAAATACTAAAAAGAATAAATGCAAAGAATTACTAGATGTAAATGTAAAAGAAAGATGTACACATCTCAAATTAAATCTTCATCTGAAAGATTTGTCTACAGAATATAAAGAAGCTGAAGAATCAAAACTTTTATTCTGGGGACAGCTACCAACATTATTTACGAAGGGGGAGTGTACAGAACTTGAGTCGGAATGTTTTTATTTAAAAAAGGCGTGTAAAGATAATAAGATTGATCATGCATGTCAAAATGCACGAGCAGCGTGCTATAAAAAAGGACAATATAGGGTCTTGAATACACTCTTTCGAGGGGAGTTGAAGGGAGAGCTTGGTAGTATAAGATATTATGATGACGATCCTAAAGAATGCAAAAAATCAGTGGTAGAAAGCTGTGCAAAACTTAAAGATAAAAAATATCTTCCACAATGTCTTTACCCTAAAGAGCTATGTTATCTGCTTTCAGATGATATTTTTCTTCAATCTAAAGAGTTAGGTGTACTTTTGGATGATCAGAGAGATTTTCCATTTGAAAAGGATTGTCTTGAGTTGAAGGAGAAGTGTGATGAACTTAAAAATCATACATATTTGAATTCTGAAAAATGTATAACATTGAAAAGACGCTGTGAATACTTTAGAGTTTCAGAGAGATTTAGAAGAGTATTTTTAAAAAGAAAAGATCATGCATTATATAATGAGCAAAACTGTACGGAGGTGTTGCAAGAAAAATGTAATACTTTATATAGGAGGAGAAAGAATTCATTTAGTGTTTCATGTGCTTTGCCAGGAGAAACATGTGAATATATGGTAGGCCGTACAAAAGGTGAATGTAGATATTTAAAAGTCAATATGGAGAGTAAAGCAATTGTACAAGAAATTGAAAAAGCAAATGGAAATGAAACAGCACTTGAAGAACTCTGCACAACATGGGGCCGACATTGTCACCAACTTATGGAGAATTGTCCGGAGCAGTTGAAAAAAAATGATGATAAGAAAGATGATAACTGTGAAAAACTCGAAGAAAAATGCACTAAAACCTTTGAAAAGTTGAAATTAGAGGAGGAGCTGAGTCATCTGTTGAAAGGCAGTTTAAAGGATGATAAATGTAAAGAAGCATTAGGAAAGCGTTGCGCTGAGTTGAAAAAGAATAAAACATTCGAAGCTCTGCTTGGCAATTGTGGAGAGAATGAAAAGGGAAATGTTTGCAAAAAATTAGTTGAAAAAGTAGGGAAGAAATGTCTTACTTTAAAAGCCGATCTGGAGAATGCGAAAAAAGAGTTGACAAAGATGAAGAATGAGTACGATGAGCTCAAACAGGCGGCAGAAAAATCTACAAAGGAAGCTAAGTTATTGCTATCAAAGTCTGGAAAAGCCGCAATGCCAAGTGGACAGGATAGCAATGGCTCTGTACCAGCACCACCAGCAGAGCCAGCACCAGGACAGTCACCACCAGGGCCACCACCACCACCACCACAAAATGGAACGCCAGACACACCAGATGGAACATCAGGCACACCAAGTGGAACACCAAGCACAACAGGTCAAACGAAGAATAATGCAAAACTTGGACTCGTTAAAAGAGCATATGTAGATGGAGGAGTATCAGAAGCAGAGGTAAAAGCATTTGATGCAACGACGGTAGCATTGGAATTGTATTTGGAATTGAAAGAGGAATGCAATGCTTTAGAACTAGATTGCGGTTTTAAAGAGGATTGTCCCGATTCTAAACCAGCATGTGGAGAAATAGACAAGTTATGCAAAGAAATAGAACCATTAAAAGTTACGCCTCATCATACAGAGAAAATAACAGAAATCTCAACCACTACCACGACCACTACTACAACCACTACCACAACTACTACCACGACTACTACGACAACAACTACGACAACCAAACCGGGAAGTGGAGGAAAAGTAACAGAAGAGTGTACAATGATACAGACGACAGATACATGGGTGACGAGTACGTCATTGCATACGAGTACGACAACGAGTACGTCAACGGTGACGTCGACAGTGACGTTGACGTCGATGAGAAAGTGCAAACCTACCAAATGTACCACCGATTCAACCAAAGAGACAGAAGAAGGAGGAAAAGAAGAAGAAGAAGTAAAACCAAATGATGGGATGAAAATAAGAGTTCCTGATATGATTAAAATAATGTTGTTGGGAGTGATTGTTATGGGGATGATGTAAAATGAATGAAAAAAATGTTAATAGAATGAAAATGTGCATATATCCATTGTTTATATATAATAGAAATGTAAATGAATGAATGAATTGAAAAATAAAGTTTTAATAATTTTAGTCCGATATTTTAATTAATAACTTAGCTTTATTTGGTAAAGTTTAAGCTTATCGAAGAGCTAAAGTTTATGATAAGAACGAGTCCAAGTTTGTCGTAAAAAAATCATTTCAAAACAACTAACTTTTCACTCTACCCATATTCAATTTAGAAACTACCCACTAAACTCCCTACAAAGAAACGGCAATGGCACGGCCGGTTAAGAGGCAAGCAGTAGGAGTAGTAGCGGATGACATTGATGAGAAACACCTTTTGGCTTTCATTGTGAAGGAGAAATACAGTAATGATGATAAATGCAAAGAAGAACTCGAGAAATATTGTGAAGAGTTGAAGAAAGCAGATGAGAATTTCAAAGTGAATGATAAAGTTAAAGGACTTTGTGAAAAAGGAAAACAAGAGGATAAATGCAAAGAACTGAAAGCCAAAGTTGAAGCAGAATTGAAAGCTCTTGAAGAGGGACTTGAAGATGCATCGGTAGATGACGTAAAAGATGAAGAAGTTTGTAAAAAATATGAAGAAAAATGTATACTTTTAGAAGAGACGGGTTATAATGATCTTAAGGAGTACTGTGTCAACTTGAGGGAAGGATGTTACAAATTGAAGCGTGAAAAGGTGGCAGAGGAGCTTCTTTTCAGNGCACTCGGAGGGGATGCTAAAGAAGATGGTAAATGTAAAGGAAAGATGAATACTGTTTGCCCAGTGTTNAGCCGAGAAAGCGACGAATTGATGACTTTTTGCCTTGATCCGGATGAAACGTGTAAAGCGCTGAAAAAAAAATCAGAAGAAGTTTGCCAGCTTTTAAAAGAAGATCTTAAAGATGACAAATTAGCGGAGAAGTGTCATGAAAGACTTGAGAAATGTCATTTTTATGGAAAAGCGTGTGATGGTGCGAAATGTAAGGAGGATAAGACGAAATGCGAGGGAAAAGGAATCACATATAAAGCGCCGGAGTCTGATTTTAGTCCGGTCAAGCCGAAGCCGTCGTTGTTAAGAAGTATTGGGTTGGAAGATGTGTATAAAAAGGCTGAAAAAGAAGGAATTATTATTGGAAAAGTAGGCGTGGATGTACCAAGAAGGTTTGGTGAAGATTTTCTGCAAGATTTCTTGCTACTCTTGAGCGAAGATGAGGATGATGTGGGGAAGAAATGCGATAAAGCGTTAAAAAAATGTAATGATTTTAAGCATTTGGATCATAATTTTAAAGAGTTATGCGATAATAATGAGAAAGAAAAGAAATGTAAAGAATTACTAAATGAAAATGTAAAAGAAAGATGTACACATCTCAAATTAAATCTTCATGTGAAAGATTTGTCTACAGAATATGAAAAAGCTAAAGATTCAGATCTTTTATTCTGGAGAGATCTGCCAACATTATTTACGAAGGGAGAGTGTGCAGAACTTGAGTCGGAATGTTTTTATTTAAAAAAGGCGTGTCAAGATAGTAAAATTGATCAAGCATGTCAAAATGCACGAGCAGCGTGCTATAAAAAAGGACAATATAGGGTCTTGAATACACTCTTTCGAGAGGGGTTGAAGGGAAAGCTTGGTAATATAACATATTATAATGAAGATCCTGAAGGATGTAAAAAATCAATGGTAGAAAAGTGTACAGAACTTAAAGATAAAAAATATCTTCCACAATGTCTTTACCCTAAAGAACTATGTTATCTTCTTTCAGATGATNTTTTTCTTCAATCCAAAGAGTTAGGTGTGCTTTTGGATGATCGGAGAGATTTTCCATTTGAAAAGGATTGTTTTGAGTTGGAGGAGAAGTGTGATGAACTTGAAAGGGATTCAAATTCGAATTCTGAAAAGTGTATAACATTGAAAAGACGCTGTGAATACTTNAGAGTTTCAGAGGGATTTAGAAAAGTATTTTTAGAAAAAAAGGATGATTCGTTAATGACTCAGGAAAACTGTACGAAGGCGTTGCATGAGAAATGCCATCAATTATTTAGAAGGAGAAAGAATCCATTTGGGTTTTCATGTGCTTTGCTAGAAGAAACATGTAGTTATATGGTATACCATACAAGTCAAGATTGTAGATATTTAAGAATCAACATGGAGAATGAAGAAATTCTACAAGAAATTGAACAAGAAAAGGCAAAAAAAGCAAATAAAAATGAAACCTTGGTTGAAGAACTCTGCTCAACATGGGGCCGACATTGTCATCAACTTGTGAAGAATTGTCCGGAGCAGTTGAAAAAAGAGAATGGCAATAATCATAACTGCGAAGCACTCGATGAAAAATGCAAGGAAACCTTTCAAAAGTTGAAAGCGAAGGATGAGCTGACTCATCTGTTGAAAGGCAGTTTAAACAAGAAAGAAAAATGTAAAGAAACATTAGAAAAGAATTGCACTGAGTTGCAAAAGGATAATACATTCAAAATTCTGCTTAGTGATTGTGAAGCTAATGCCTTGGAAAATGTTTGCGAAAAATTAGTTGAAAAAGTACAGAAGAGATGTCCTACTTTAAAAGACGATCTGAAGAAAGCGAAAGANGAGTTGACAAAGATGAAGACTGAGTACGAAAATGCTAAAAAGGCGGCAGAAGAATCTACAAANAAAGCTAGCTTATTGCTATCAAAGTCTGGAAAAGCCGCNATGCCAACTGCGCAGAATGGCAGTGATTCTACACTAGTACCACCACCACCACAAGCACCAGCAGGGCCACCACCACCAGGGTCACCACCACCACCACCATCACAAAATGGAACGCCAGGCACACCAGGTGGAGAAACAGGCGCATCAGGTGGAACGCCAGGCACACCAGGTGGAGGATCAGGCACACCAAGCAGTGGAACGATGGGCCCTGCAAAACTTGGACTCGTTAAAAGAGCGTATGTAGATGGAGAAGTATCAGAAGCAGAGGTAAAAGCATTTGATGCAACGACGATAGCATTGGAGTTGTATTTGGAATTGAAAGANGAATGCAATGCTTTAGAACTAGATTGCGGTTTTAAAGAGGATTGTTCAGATCTTCAAGTTTGCGGAGAAATAGACAAGTTATGCGAAGGAATAAAACCATTAGAAATTAAGCCTCATCATACAGAGAAAATAACAAATAAGGTGACGGAAACACAGACGGAAACACAGACCGTTGAGAAGGGTGATGTGAAGACCGNTGNGAAGACCGTTGAGAAGACNGTTACGGTAACCAAACCAGGAAGTGGAGGAAAAGTAACAGAAGAGTGTACAATGATACANACNACAGATACATGGGTGACNAGNACGTCATTGCATACGAGTACGACAACGAGTACGTCAACGGTGACGTCGACAGTGACGTTGACNTCGATGCGCAAGTGCAAGCCTACCAAATGTACCACCGATTCAACCAAAGAGACAGAAGAAGGAGGAAAAGAAGAAGAAGAAGTGAAACCAAATGATGGGATGAAAATAAGAGTTCCTGATATGATTAAAATAATGTTGTTGGGAGTGATTGTTATGGGGATGATGTAAATGAATGAAAAAAATGTTAATAGAATGAAAATGTGCATATATCCATTGTTTATATATAATAGAAA